CGCTCATTCCTTGTGTGTTTTAGGATTAATTCTTTGGTACCGTTAAAACTCCCAGAGTTTCTGTAACCTTTCTCAAAAGTATCATTTGGGACAAGTGAAGAGATTTATATTTCTCCGCAAAAGTCATGACTACACCGCCGTTCTAGATGTTTTCCTAAATCTTATGTGTGCTTTGTGGTGTGGAAAATTGAATCGATGCATTTCGGTGCAAAGTTCTACGTTGAGAATGTATTCTTTCATTCAATACGATCGTCGGAAACATTATTATATACTGTGTAGTGAACATTTCGAACCAATCAAGGACGAGTTAAGTTCCATGGTTTTCGGCAAAACACTCAGATATTTCTAATTGAAGTTTGACCACGGATTAATATCAGCTAGAGGACCATTGCAGACCATGGAGTACTGGATAGCTATTTCGTCCTGGCTGTGGACTCATTGGCAGTACGCACCCATCGGGTTTCGAACCCAGGGCCTTCTTAATATATGTGTAAATCTTGGGCACTGTGGTAGTATGTAACTCCACAGTAATTTGTTTATTAGATGTATCACACAGTGAAACAGTGTTATATACTGGATGACGTTTCGAACAAAATTTATTGTTCATAAACATATCAATCATAAACACATGACTTCGAAATCTGAGTTTTTTTCTCAGATTTTGAAGTCGTGTAAATAATGCTGTTTCACTGTGTGATACCTCTAATAGACAAACTAATATAGAATTCCAGGACCTTCTGTTTACAAGGTAAACTATACCATTCAGTCACTTAGACCAGATTTAATAGCCCATGAATTCTAACAGCCATCAATTCTTGGTTTTAGCGCGACTGCCAGTCAGTGTCATTGACGAGTATTTGTCCCCACTAGTGACCGGGTGTTCGTCACCGGTCACCACTCACTAAAACTCCCGGTGAATTCGTCCTGCAGCCAGTCATTAGCAGATATTAGATTAATTTACAAGAGTTTGCTTGTAGGGATTCGATTTGTTTCAAGTTTGTCCACGAATTGATATTTCTACTGTTCATTTACAAGCCTTTAAGCTTTCTAAGGCACTATTTTTCCCAAAGGATTTCATTCGGTAGATAAAATTTATTTCAGTTACTTTCGATGTACAGTGTCGCCGAATGGGTTTAAAAAACATCTGATCAGCGGTGGCACAATGTACATGCCTTTCTGCATGTGTATGCACATATGTTTAGAATCTATTTCTCACTGTGTACTCGGATATGTTTCATGATGAAATCGGACACTTTAACAGATACAGACTTAGGGAGATTCTATTAGTTGATGATAACATGGATTTGCCATCTTAAAATTGTTAAAATGTTTGATTCAAAACGAAAAATGACTACCTAAATTATACATTAAAGTACAAACTAATTGTTGGTTCTGGAGTTTGAATACCTCGAAAATATTAAAGCGACCTGACGTCAATAAAAGAGGTAAGTTGCACTATAGGGAAGCGAAATTCATTCGATTAAACTTAGCAAGAGTTGCACAAGCAGTAGTTACACGTATGAAATATATTTGCAATGTAATCATTAGTGTTTCGTGCTTGAATGCAAGCTAGAACTCACCTTACTAATGACGTAACTGCCATATCATACCTTGAAAATGAGTTGGTTAGTGGATACATCGGTAGTATGTGTTATCACTGGGCAAGTCGCTTACTCAGTGGTGCGAGTCAGAGTGAAGTCGTAGTTCTGGGAGATAAGACTATTAAATCATTATTGTTTCCCTCGCAAAACTAACAAGCCAACTATACTGTCATTTAGTTCTGAAGAAGAAAGATTAGAAGAGTTCTAACCCTAAAAAATAATACATCCCGATTTACCTTACGGTTATAAGACCGTTTATATCTACGAAACTCGAAACATCATCCCCGAACAAACGTTGTGTGACCGGTTTTCAATGGTTATCCTCTGAGTTCTGTGGTCATGCAATACTAATACTTTCCTCTTTCAGTTACTTTAAGAAAACAATAACTTCCACTGTTTGAACATTCATTCAATTAATATAACTATCGTAATGTGCTATATCGAATGAACTTACTTAGCATGGTACTGTACTTTACCGAAGTGACCAGTTTGTTTTACACTATTGGTAGCTAAATGAAATAGTTTCCGGGGTGCGGTTCAACTGGCCATTATCGACTCATTACGGATAGGTAGACGATTTGCTAATCATCTGAAACGAGGCAGGTGGACAGACAAGCCTGACCAACTTTTGACAAGATTAACTATGGTACTAGTCAGCATGCTGGTGCAGTTTGCTGATTATTCAAATCTATAGGAAAGGAGACAACTTCCTGTGTTACTCAGAGTAATCAAAACGACTAATATAATCCACTTTCCATTGTTTTGTGTATACTAAATAGGATTAATAAACTCTGGGAACCTGGATAGGTTCCAAAGTCGGATGCAGATGCATTAGTTAAACCTTTACCCTTTGCCAAGTTCTGGAACACAGCATCCGACACTTGACCTAAAAGGGAAATATGGTTTCGCTGATCCAAAGATGATGGACGGATTGCAGGAGGAGTACCTTCGTTTCAGTTATTCATGTTAAGCAGAGTAATATAATTCATATGAACTGCGATCAAGATTTGACCTGATAGTTGCAAAATAATTGAGCGCTGAGTGAGAAGTAGACATTTATAAAATTATATTTGTAAAATCTCAGCGAAATTGAAATAATTAATTCCAACGTTTCGTTCGGCAATCTGGTCCGAACTTCTTCAGGGAAATTAATCGAATTAACATAACAGAGGTTTATATATAAAAGGAACAAGTCATGTTTTTAAACTTTGTTCAATCATGAGCCATGAAACAGGCATCAACATATATAATAAATAAATAAATAAAATGGTATGTTTATATATATATATATATATATATATATATATATATATATATAGGTGGTCCCAAAGACCTCTGCAGACTTGAAGAAGCTAGAAAACAACTCAGCGATTGCACTGCATTCGATAGAAACGGAACACAAAATCGACTTCGATAAGACTAACGTTTTACAGAAAGGTTTTGGTTCATATAAAGAAAGACTGACTGCAGAAGCCCTACATATATCGGTGATTCCCAACAGTTTGAACAGACGTGGTGTGGTCTTAGCTGATGCATGGCAAATCCTGACTAATAAATAAATTGGATATGTTTTCAACAACTAGTCAAACTTCATCAAACTCCCGATTGTCTACGTCTTGTTATGGAGAGAATATAAAATTTATAAAATTATATTATATTTGTAAAAAATCTCAATTATTTTGCAACTATCCGGTCAAATCTTGATCACAGCTCATATGAGAATAACAAATGTTTTATGACTTCACCCACCCCCCCACACACACACCATTGTATACTGCATATTCACACATATATTTTAACAAAAGTAGACTAATTTTGAAAGTCTGAGGTCAATTTTTGACCACAGTTCATAAAAAAAATTTTTTGTTTTGTTTATTATACCTATTGATAGCTGTTTCTCGATTCATATGACAGGACAAACAATTTAAAACAAGAGATGTACTTTTATATATAAACATACAATTTTATTTATTTATTATACATGTTGATGCCTGTTTCATGGCTCATGATTGAACAAAGTTTAAAAACATGACTTGTTCCTTTTATATATAAACCTCTGTCATGTTAATTTCGATAAATTTCCCTGAAGAAGTTCGGACCAGATTGCCGAACGAAACGTTGGAATTAATCATTTCAATTTCGCTGAGATTTTACAAATATAATTTTATAAATGTCAGAGTAGTATAGTTATCAAGCGCAATTACGGATACACTGGCAGGTGAGAAGTCAATTGATGGAGTTGTGAAGCTCCACCTATTGAGATGTCTAGCATGTGTAATGCATGCCGTGCCGCCGCCTTCCTTTGTGACCAGTAGCGGCTGGAAAAGAATGGAAGATGGGCTGAAGAAAACATGGCATCAATCCATGAATTCTTTGATTGTTAGTTTAGTAGTATGCACGTATGGTTTCCTCAGCTCTCTACGTATCACTGGTGAGATGACTTCAAATAATTTATGGTAATAGGGGATGTATTCACTCCTTGTGATTTTTGAGCTTCCAAACATCTTCAGTAATCTCAGTGTATTCATCCACCCTATCGGATATTTTAATCAAGAATCTGTAGTTGCTGATAATCAATATATAACTAAAGTATAGCGTCAAATTAGACCCATTTAAATATTGCTAAAATCAAACGTATACTGCAGTATACAGCACGTCACTGTCTATTTTTTGCGATGTGACTCATTAACTTGGTTAACTAACTTCCAGCCCATGAGTCGTAGAGTCGAATCTCATTCCACCTATTTTATTCTAGGTAGTATCACTTGTCCCCATACTGTGTGACTCAAAGTCCGGTACCAGGTAATCAATTCTTCATCAATCAACTGCCTTTACTCATGCCATATATATAAACATATATATATAACGTTAGTTTATAAATAACAACATTTAACATTACATCTTTAATTCGAAGACTTCAATTTTTGTACAGAACCTTGGCCTTAAAGACTCACTAGATGAGTGCGCAATGTTACCTCACCAGAGTGGAATCATTCTCAGCTTGCCATCGCCTTCATTCTGTTCATCTTAATAATGAGGAAAATGTCGAAGTTTTTCAAAAATGTAACAATCCAATGGGACATGGTCACAATTACAAATTGGAAGTTACCATTCGAGGACCTATTGATCAAAGAACAGGTATGGTTATAAATATTGCTGACTTAAAGTTGATTATTAAAAAAAATGTACTCGATTTGTTGGATCATAAAAATATCGATGAAGATGTTGAATATTTTAAGAGAAATAATATTGTATCAACTACAGAGAACTTAGCTGTTTTCATCTGGTCACAGTTAGTGGATGCTATACCCAACAAATTGCTTTACAAAGTTAAAGTGTGGGAAACTGAGAAAAATATTGTAACTTATAAAGGTAAATGAAAACGAATCATGTTAATCAATAATTTAGTATTATTATGATTATGTTTGTGTAATTTACTACTGCAATACAATTTATTCTCAATAAAACAATAAAGAAAAGTTTCTTCGGAATCCCTTTTTTTGTTTCATTAGCCCTGCTATTATGAACAATGAGTATATGTGGATTTGTAGGGAGATATGATACGGAGTAAGAATTTACAAAACATAGTTTAACTATACATCTAGAGAAATGTAATTTGAAAACGCCCCACGTTTAGCCATCCTTAGCATAGCACCAAGTTGTCTACCAGGACCAGGTTCAATGGTACGCGGAAAAGAAACATCTGGTGGACGATTGTATAATGCATATAACGTTTGTTCCCATAGTACGGGACGAGTGACCTGCAAAGGATAGCAGTGAAATTATCATGGCTTTTCTGAATATACATGTATACGTTATGCACAGTAAAGCACAAATATCAGAAACGGTATCCATCTATGACGATAGATTAAAGTTCAAATCATGGTTTTGATTAGGAAAAGTACACACATTAATTTCTTTTCAAAAGTATGGGAAAGCCTTATTCACAATTTAATCCAGTTTAACTTAGCACTTATTATAGATTGTTTTACATTAAGTTCACGGCATTACTCGTCGACATTGCCCAAAAACTCCAAACATCTGAATGTAACCATATAGGTGTGCGATGCTTAGCGACAATAAGTAAAGTGCACTAAATAGTACAACGTGTGGACAGCATTCTTGTAATTCCATAACGATCCACCAAAAAATCTCTTCCTTCTAATGATTACTTTACACACAGTAGAAGTCAGATATGAGTTGAAAAATATCACCGACAACAGGCATAGATAAACTAGATTTCTGTGAGCCAGCGTTGAGAAGAATAAGTGGAAGTTAGTTGAATCATATCACAACACCAAAGTGCACGTAGTGTTATGCATTTCAAGTTGCCATTTATCCTGAAGGGCAACAATACAGAGAATAGAAGCAAGGTGGAAAGACAAAGGATTTCTAGACTGAAGTCTAACATTTCCTGGCTGCCAGTCTAACCTTTTTCTCATACTTCTGGGTTTACGTGACAACACTCTTGTCCTAGACCACACTATTAGTGACATATTTTCCACAATGTGTAGGAACGTACAGTCATAGAATGATGGGGTGGCCTGAAGAACTTAGGAATGAATGAGAGTAGAAGACTGCTAAATTTGGGTCATTTGTTGTTGGTAAACCCTTTTACATCGAGCTGACATTTTTGTTATGAGAAAATAAAAATATTAAAGGCCGAAAGTGCTGTTATGTTCAGAAACTAACTGATTCACACTTATTTTATAAAGTTATGGAGCACAAGTTCCACTCCTCACCAACATACAGACAACAAGCTCATTAATTATTTGGTTATACGTACACATTAGTTTTCTTACGGTTTGTAATAGGATAAAAGGGCATCAACAGAAAGTAATATCAAGAAACATGAGTATAATTGTCAGCTCTCAACATGAAGTGAGGAATTAGTAATTCTATGGTACTGTGACGGGCTTTCTTTCTCTTCTGTTTCAGTTCTTCAACCACTTATTTTATTCACTGATAACTAGAGCTAAATAAAATACCTTAGTAAGGTGTTGTGACTTTGTAGGATTAAATTGTGAGTTTTATTCGATGTAAAATTACAAATAAAGGTATACAGTGGGTGGCAGACATATTGTGGTGGGAGCTGGCTGCTAGCCAAAGTTGGTAGACAGTAATTGATGTCAATGTTTATGTCCCCAATACTGGTGGTGAGAGAATGAGAACAAAGGCTTTGCGTAGGCGGATACAGTTATCATATGGATGATCTGACACTGCCACGAAGAGATGCAAGGTTAACTTTCTGTGAGAAACAACCAATCAAAAGACTGTATTTTCTACTGACAATAATCTACAATAATGTACATTAAAATCTATAAATATGTGTTGATTTTCCTAAATAAACGATCTGTTGCCTGGCCCTTGTCTTCTGTTGTTACAATATAATATAGATGTTTATCGCCCCAAATAGGGGCTAGTAACTGGGACTCACCTGCATAGCAAGTTTTTGCTTAATATTCATTGCATTTCTATAAGGCAAAGCGTCTACAACACTAACAACAGGTATTTTAGGTTCACGGAAATCATCCATTCTGTTAAGTGAATTAGCCAAAGTTTTATAGGCAGAGAACATTAAAGGTGTATGGAAAGCCCCACTGACTTCTAACCGTTTTGTACGACGTATTCCAAATTGAGCAGCATGTTCTTCAATGTAATCTATAGCCTAAAAGTAAAGTTAAATAAAATGACTTTAAAAAGAAAATCAAAACAAACTTCAATAATGACTTCTACCTTGTAGATGAAGTGTGCTTTCCGGAATTCATCTTAATTCGAAAGGTTAACTAGACCCGACCGGAAGCTGCTACCTTGATGTGGTGGTCAGGCTTGAACACCGCAATGACCCAACAAGCTATACTGGCTGAGACTTATGTCGCTTGAGGTCCTACCATGCCAGAAAGGTTGTTTGGATAGCGGTTAGACAAAAAGCAGTTACCCAACCCAATGCTATGGCTCAAAGTTTAAACTTCAAACAAATCCCAAGAGGGTATAAAGTTGTGGTCGAGTAATCACACAGTCCACATGCTTCAAGCGTAATTCTAGTAGAAAAACCTGACCAATGAAACCAAGTAACCTCACATATTCTGTTTATATTATCGATTTTAGTCCTGGTATTAGATAACATGTTAATTCACTAAGTATTTCAATTGGAGTACAACTGTTGATCACTATACACAGTTCCCCTACCTTTAATATAGTTTATCAACATGCAAACTGATCTCGTCATTTACTCAATCATTACAACTTAACTTTTTCTACCAGATCCAGCTGTTACAACACTGTTATCAATTTGCTAGACTTCCGGTAGTACTTACGGCTTTCTAAAATCTTACCACTCTGTGTTGAGAAATCACTAGCCTCGTATAGTTATTTTGTAAATTAAGCTCGGTGTTACTCGTGCGGTGTCTCGCGGTCTCCTCATATCAAGTAATAGGCATGAAACATAGTTTTACTAAAGAAAGACTTGTCTTCGTTTTGACCAGTGTTATCGCGCACTGACCGACTGGTTTCAATATAGAACTTTGCACAGATGTGCAGCAGTTTGAGTTGCCACACTCCAGGTAGCACAAAGCAACAAAAGAGAAATAATAAACAGAAATATGCGGTAAGAAGAATAATAATATGGAAGAACAATAGAATTTTATTGGATGTATCTCTGCCATTGAGTTCGATTTTGAGTCAAATCACCAATTGTTTCCAGGCGTTGGTTTTTACCATCCCGAGGACCCCAAACAGGAAGTCTACTCTTTCTTACGTGGCTAGCTTAAACTAACTGTTGTGGATTTCATTGATCGATGAAACTATGTTTTCGTTTGACCACCACTAGCTCTTTTCCAACCTGATCCATCCTATGTCAAGCTAACATTGCCCATCGAGGAAGGCGTTGGCTAAGGATGCATGCGTAACACATATCCTAACCATCTCAATCGATGTAACTTCACAGCCTCGTCGATTGATTTCCCCTCTTTACTTAGTACTCGACCGAAGCCTAACCTCAATATTGTTCACCTTGTTATACCACCTAACACGGGAGATAGCACGCAGGCACCTACGATCGAAGACAGGTAGTCTTTTCGTGGCTTCCACTTTCAGGCACTAGCTGTTATTAATGTCATAAATACCACCATAAGTGCCGTAAATAAATGAAAATGACAGGCGAATACTACATAAAATCCGACATTCGAAAAACTGTAAAAGTCGTACCTCGTTATTACCGGCAAGAACTTTACAGTCTGGATAAAGATAGTTAGCAACTTTACAACAGGGGTTTTGGATTTTATGATGAATTTCGCAATGGTTAATAGCTGCTGCTATTGCGAGTTTTAATGGAGATCCTGGATTCACAAACACCGTAAGCATTGCTCCAGATTTTTGATCACATGCTTTCTGCATAGCCTCTGCTCGGACACGAATGATATGCAAACCTAGTTCCATAGATGAATAAATAAAAACGATAACCTACCTTCTTCATATGTAAGGGCACCGGAAAACACCAGTGCTGTGATTTCACCAACACTAAATCCAGCTGTAGCTACACAATTCCTAACTAACTTCAATTATATAATATGAATTTAATTGGAGAGGAACCTCGTCGTTTTCTTCCCGCAGTTTTGCTATGGCTGCTAGGGAAATTATGTAAGTTGCCGGTTGACAATGAATAGTTTTTGACAACTTTGAAACAGGACCCTCCAAGCAAGTGCGTAGAATATCTGTCCTTAGAATTTCATTAGCACATTGAAACATCTCTTTAATCTTGGGTAGTTTTACGAGTTCTTTGCCCATCCCAACAAACTGTGCCCCCTGGCCTGGGAATAAGATGATAGATGTTTTCTCCGGTTCAATATCAGTTGCCCTTAAAAGTATCTCATGTGTAAGTTTAAACTACCTTTCATTGTACAAAAACCATTGTTTCGTAGTTTTCTCAACAGTCTTCACATCACTGCAAACGCTAGAAATTTTGCATTGTCTGGATGAATTATAAAACAACCGTTTGTATGACATTGCATCAGTAACGTAAGTGGTACATAAAGCACTTCATGAGAAACTTTGAAATTCAAAAGTACTTTGCACGTTCTTTTGTGGAGTAAACTAAACAAAGGTGCGGATAGTTAGTTAGACCAATAAATACGTATTAAGTGAGATACAACTGAGTAATTTAAAGTTCTTCATTTAGTAAAGATAACTTATTTTCCTAACATAGATAAAGTTAGGAGTGGAAGAAAATATAAATGGGTCATAAGAAGCGCTGGCTACTAACAAAAATGCGTAAAACTGATAACAAAATGCTACTCATTAACTATTAATATATGTGTAAAACTTGGGCACTGTGGTAGTAAGTAATTCCATATTAGTTTGTTTATTAGGTATATCACACAGTGAAACAGTGTTATTTACTGGATGACGTTTCGAACAAAATTTATTGTTCATAATCATATCAATTGTGATCACACGACTTTGACACTTGAGTTTTATAGCTTTCTTTGTTTTCTCCAATTTGTCGTAGGGGTAGTAGAATTTTCCAGATATCTGGGACAGGTGATGAACCATTCCTATTACATGTATTTGCAGTTTCGATAAACAAAGCTTCTGTTATCAATCTCTCCCTATACCCTGTGACATTAGATTTTAAAACTGTCATCCTATACCATCCTATTGTATGGTTGTGTGTGCATGTAGTGCTATAGCTGAACTATTCTCTAGATTTCTTATTTTATTCGGGTCAACCAATCTAGATTTTGCTAAGTTTTTATGTTCAGCTAGTCTGACTGCTCCTGTTCTACTAGTTTGACTCATGTATTTGACCTGATAATCATTGCAGGCAGGGTATTAGATAAACTAAATTGTTTTGTTTTAAAGGCTCCACACGATCCTTTAGCCGACAAGGCTTGTTTCTAATTGAGTTTGTGGGTCTGAATGCCGTTTTTATTCCTGCCTTGTTGAGAATTCTGCGTAAGGCTTCCGAAGCCTTTTAAAATCTAATGTCACAGGGTATAGGGAGAGATTGATAACAGAAGCTTTGTTTATCGAAACTGCAAATACATGTAATAGGAATGGTTCATCACCTGTCCCAGATATCTGGAAAGTTCTACTACCCCTACGACAAATTGGAGAAAACAAAGAAAGCTATAAAACTCAAGTGTCAAAGTCGTGTGATCACAATTGATATGATTATGAACAATAAATTTTGTTCGAAACGTCATCCAGTAAATAACACTGTTTCACTGTGTGATATACCTAATAAACAAACTAATATGGAATTACTCATAAACTATTTTCACCTATATGCACTTGTCAATCAGCTGGACCTATTGTGTGACGGCTGGTGATTCTGCCATGCTGCCCAATTCCCGGTAAATGGAACATGTGCTTCAGTAGTTGAAAGTTGAGTGCCTGAACCAGAAAGCCACAGACCCACAAATATATATGTTCGAGCGAAAGGTGACACTTCAGTGAAGACAACTGTAAACGATTCAGTAGGTAAAAATGACGAGGAGTATTCAGACGCCTTAACCATATGTTGTAACAGAGCACTAATAATCACTGCTGCTCATTTCATGCATCAAGTGGGGTAACACCTCATGTCAATAAACCAGCACATACATAATTCAAACTCGTGATTTACTCATTAGGAATCAAGTGCGTCACACTAATTCTGATACCGAGTACCATTACCTTCCCCGCTTTGAAATATTTGGATCATTTTGGTATTAGGAACTGATGAGACTCGATCAATAGTATATAATATCTGGTATACTGACACTACACATCAAAATAACTTTGATGACATTCGACTACTGTTTACTACGTTATATGTCAAACGCTTCATTCAACGACCAATAAGTTAATGCTTTTTCTTAGACAGATCAACAAGATTTAAACACCTTTTTATCTGACGCTAACTAATAAGTATGGCTAATGAAGTTGGCAGTTTCGCTTTCTATCCCTAAACAGTAAATCGGTACAAACCAGTTGAGTGGCATTATTTTCCATCTAACAGAACCCAGATTTTAGATTATAGAATTTGTGTAGATCCGGATTAATTGAATCTCAATTGCCAGATGTCGCCACGAACCAACTTCAGTTGGAGACCATTAGAAACCGCGAAGCTTTGGGTAGCTGTTTCAACCAACTTTGAGACTGTTCGGTAGTGCAAACCCACGGCTGCCCTAGGTATCGAACTCGGGACCTCCAGGTTACAACACCAGGCCCCTTGACCATATTCAGCTCACTGATAGATGTCCTGAAGCGGCAGTGGGAATTCACGAGCAGTGGAATCTATCACGTCAAGGTGAGTGGTTGCTCATCTGAGGCATCGATGAGGGTAGCGCTACATCACGAGTTGATAAAGTCATATATTCCGATCCAAGTGGTTGTATGGTCAACCAACTTGGTCTCGTAAATCGCATTTATCAGATTCGACTCCGGGTGGAATCGTAAGTGCGCACTGCTGAAGTCTCTGCATAGTATGAAACAGATATCCAAAGCCCCCTGGTTTTCAATGGTCCCTAACTGATGTTGGTTCGTGACGAAGCCTAATAAGTGAAGTTATACAGGATTTTGTTCATTGTGTTCAGATCCTTCATAATGTCAGTGATTTCATCTAAAACACTATTGTTCGTATACTCTAAAACTCCTACTGGGATGTCGATGCCAAACAGTTACTTCTGTCAGTACATTTATAATAAAGCTGAACGAGAAAGATAACCCTGACCACGTATGATAAATACCACTAACAGTCGTTACTTCAGATGATGATTCTTTATAAGCTCTTACACGTGTGCATTACTTTATGACCATTTAAAACTACATGTATTGTTGTAGCTAATCGGTTGCTGAACACTCACATTTCACTTCTTCTATTGTTGTGTGGACGCATGTTCATACATATTAATTTTCTGTTGTTTGCAGATTTCTCATGCATAACAATCTTTACATCTTATCTAATTTTTTAGATAAAATCAATTACTTTGCGTCAGCTTAGAAACTAAATCTTTTACAGGATTTCATCATGAGCTGACATCGGTTAGAGAACTGATGGAAAACCCGGGAGTACTGGACAGCCGTTTCGTCCTGGTTAGGAACTCTTCATCAGTATACGCCCACCGGGGTTTGAACCCGGCGGTCTACGAGCTCGCCTTGTAACCAGAAGGTCCTGTGTACGAACCCCGGTGGGTGTGTACTGATGAAGAGTTCCGAACCAGCTGTCCAATACTCCCGGGTTTTCCAGTGGTTCTCTAACCGATGTCAGTTCATGATGAAATCCTGTACCCAATCAATCAAATCTCTACAAACCAATATTTGTAAATCTTTTACATCAAATAAGGTTTTATATAGATTACAAGGCTTATTGTATACGGAAAGTTGTAAGCAAAAATTAAAGTAAAAATAAGCTATCTACTAAACATACCCCTAAGAATAAAGAGCAATTCAAACTCCAGAAAAGCGATTAGTTATACCATACATGCAATGCGAAGTGGATACAAGACCAATTTCAACGGTGTCAAAATAATAGTTTCATTCACATTAACAAACACCAATATCCTTCGCAAACCCAATGAACAAAAGGGGAGAACAATCACTTATTCCTTGGGTGACAGACCAATTAGACAAAATTATTATAGGTAAGCCCTAAAACGACCACTACTTGTGCATTAAAATGCTTTTCAAATGAAAACACATTTTGACTGGTCGATATTTTCAATGAAAATAGTAATAAAAATACATGATAACTAAACTTGAAAAGGATTATTAGTACATTGTCTGTGTCTGATGTTTTCGGGCACTTACAAACTTGAGTGTCACTTAAACCCCACTTCGTCAAATGGAATGCCATTAATAGAACATGAAGCATTACGCCTTATTGTGGACAATTATTAAACCTGTAATTCAACTCAACTGTTCTTTACAGTGCTTCACTGTGTTCCAGGGCTGTTTGAAAGACCATAACCGTAACATCTGTATGGCAGACAGCATTATGCATACTTCACCCCTGCTGACAAATATGGACAACATCCGACTGCTTATAAATACACCTACTAAAGGAATTACGCATATGACGTCTTTTTCTACATGACAAATACGCGTGTATCTGTTCGAGAAACCAAACTAGGATGTACTAGACAGTACCCCGAGATATAGTATATATCAAAAGTTAAGCTCCTCGAAGTCATAGATATATCTGTTAATTCTCTAACATGAAAATGAAAAGATGAGTAAAAGGAGGTCATGATACACCTTACACTACAGGCGAAAAAGTGGCAATAATCATACAATCGATGTAATCTGAGTAACTCGTGTTTCATATGAGATCTGGAGGTTCTTCATATTCATGCCACAGATTTGTGGTATGAAATGAGATATTGCTTGCAGTCCAGAATTTTAGGACATACCTCCTTTGCTTCTGAAACTTTCATTTTGTGAGAATAAACTGCTTAATTCAGTCACCGGGAGTTGTATGACAGAGGTCATGAACGGATGGCTACATTTGTATGTTCCAAAGGGGATTTCCTCTACCACATCACACACCAGGGATTCTAAATAATGATATGCCAGGACAATATTATTTACATGTGCCAGATCCCAACAACCTGGAATCAGTCTTATTTAAAAATCCTCCTACCATTCCAATTTAGATACATAAAGGCCAGGAACGAAAGAACAGTTAATTTGCCAGTGTACGTGAATAAATAACGTACACATTCTCCGCAGTGCGTCCGAAGTAAGTGTAGGCTGGATACAATGTGTACCCACTTGAAATCTTTTTCTAAAATTTTATATGGTGTTAACAGTTTTTGGCTGGAAAATCAGTAAGAGTAGCATCTCAGTCAAATGAGAACATACGGAAAGCACGCAAATTCGTACCGAATTGTTTGAAAATAGAGCTTCCAATATCCAATATCCTGATTACGAGCTAGTATAAACCAGTGATTTCTTTGAGCTCGCTTCTTGATTGTAAGGTAGAGGTTCCAGATCTTCGGTGAACTTATGCGTAGTAAATCCCGCCACTCGACTGCTTTAGCTCTGGTAGACTCCAAGAGGAGTGGTGCGAGGATTGGTCAAGATTGTGGTTTGTAGTGTGCAGTATGTTAGGACTCAGCTGCTGCCGTGAATGGAGTTTGACCTAACACCCGTTGGTCATTCGGTGTAGTCATAAAAGTAGAATAATAATAATAATAATAGGTTGTAGTGTAGATAATATAGGTTGAGATAAGTGAAATAATAAAGGTGAAATAATAAAGAAAGAAAGAAAAGATAGAGTAGTCGGTACAGTGGGAGAAGACAGGATGGGTCGTGGGGATTTAGCTTGTATGCTTATCCATTGACAATGTGGTTTCAAATTTTAAGAGGATAAGCCATTGAGACACAAACCATGCATTTCTGCATGATTGTCCAGCTTCCGCTTAAAAGTCTCCACAGATGGCGCTGTAGTTACGGCCGCCGGTAAAGCGTTCCAGAGACGGCAAACTCGAAGCGAGAAGAAATGTGAACGCACTCGAGTCTTTGGTCTCTGGTGTGCTATCCTTAGCGGGTTACCTCGTGGAAGCCTATAATCACTTAATGGCAGGATGCTTTTATTAGGGTGGGCCTGGTCATTTAAGATCTTATAGACGGTGATGAGGTCTCCCCTGTGACTACGGTAACTAAGTGTGAAAAGACTTAATTTCTTCAGTCTTTCCTCATATGATTTGTTGCGGAGGCCGATCACCCATTTTGTCGCTCGTCTCTGGACACTTTCTAGAATGTTAGCATCCCTTTTGAGTAGCGGAGGAGCAATGATATTATGCACCTCAAGGAGTGGCCTCACGTATGTCGTATACAACCTTAAGAATAGTTCAGGAGTAAGAGCTCCCAGCTGCCTATGCATAAAGTGTAAAGTAGCGTAAGCTTTGGCGACGTCCCTCGTGTAATTTACACTGGTGTCTAGCTTTTCTGTTAAAATAAGACCTAGGTCGCGTTCTGATGGCACACAACTCAAGTTCTGGCCACCAAGGGTGTAATTTGCACTCTGTGACCTGCCGGAATGAAGTTGCACTACTTTGCACTTCTTTAGGTTGAAAGGCATTCCGTTAGCCAGAGCCCAGTCTCCCAGAGTTTGCAGGTCAGCCTGCAATCTGTCGGAGTCTTCCGATGAGTTTATTGCTCTCCAAATCTTTACGTCGTCAGCGTAAAGAAGCGCAGAGCAATTCAGTTGACAGGGCAGGTCGTTGATAAAAATCAAAAACATCAACGGCCCTAAGATAGAACCCTGAGGAACCCCTGATGCCGAGGTGTGCCAGGATGATCGGATGCGGTTGACTTTGGTGCAGAATTCTCTCTCGCCTAAGTAATCTTTCAGCCATGCGAGAAGTGCTCCAGAAACACCCGCCTTGCTTATTTTGTGAAGGAGCAGACCATGGTGAACTGTGTCGAATGCTTTCGCAAAGTCGAGAAAGATCACATGGACTGGTACCTTTACATCCCAGGATAGTGTCCAATCGTTCCAAGCTAGTAGAAGATTCGTCACACAGGATCTTCCCCTCCTGAAACCGTGCTGTGCTTCATGGAGTAGGTTAGTCCCGTCGAAGTATTTTCTCATGTGGTCGTCAATGAGACTTTCCAATATCTTCGATATCACTGGGAGTAGCGCAACTGGTCTGTAACTGGTCGCGTTCTGCCGGTCACCACCCTTGAAGATAGGGGATAGGATGGCTCGTTTCCATTCACATGGAAGTTTCCCTACATCAAAGGAGTGTTGAAACAGATCACTTAGGGGTTGGCAGAGACTTTCTGAACACTGCTTCAGGACGGATGGTCTTATGTCATCGCAACCTGCAGACTTTCCCGAAGCCAACTTTCCCAATTTTACGAGTACCATAGCCGGGGTAATTTGAAATGTACCCAGCAGGTTTTCGCACGTTGGTCTTGCATTGTAATCTTGATGTTTTGTGGGGGTAAAATCCTCGTTACTGTTCAGTTGCCTGTGAAAGGCTAGACTGAATGTCTCTGCCATTTCAAGACTAGTAAGAGATTTCCCATCAGAACCCACTAGATTGCAAGCTCCCTGGTTGGTCGGTTTTCTTTCAGACATAAACCTGTATAGGCTTTTGGGGTTCACGAGAAGCTTATTGGCGAGGTTTCTCTGAAATGTCCTTCTATCACTCCGGACTCGTATGTTACATCGATTCCTGAGTTCGAGGTACACTTCATGTTCGGGTTGACTCTTCGATACTCGCCACGCAAACCAGGCTTTTCGCTTCGCCTGTAGAAGGCGTTGTGTCCCCCTTTTTAGCCATGAACGTTGCTTTCTAGCTTTTGGTGTGACTAAAGGAACAGTGTCTGAGACCGCCTGGTGAATGATCTCCTTTACCACTCCCCAGTGTTCTTCTACTGTAAGCTCTGTCCAATTTTTTGGCCAATTTGCTTCAGACAAAAGTCTTCGCATTTCGGTGTAATTGGCTTTGTTATAACACAGATAGGGCTGTGTATTGTCCCACTGTAAACGCTCGCGGAGGACTATGTCGAATGTTATGACCGCGTGGTCACTACTACCTATGGGAGTCGTGATCTGAACGTTTTCCACTAGTAGCTGGTCACTAGTGAGCACATAATCCAGTCTAGAAGACTTCCCATCTGGGCCCCATCTAGTATCCATTCTGACATTTTCAGTGAATCCGGCCTCCCTGATGGTATGCAGCAGATTTCGATCAAATCTATCCTGGGCATATCCCGTCATCAAGTTAAGAGATGGGGCATTGAAGTCTCCAGCTATGACAATTTGATCATAACCCATGTCTTGTGTCGCTGAAATTGCATTCAGCAGTACCTGGTTGTGGTCTCCTCCACATGATGGTGATCTATAAATGCTGCCCACTAGATATTTACAGTACCCAACGGTGAAATGGCACCATATGGAGTCAGGGAGCTCAATGAGGGGAGGGTCGATTGCATGGACACATCTGAGCTGTTTGTCGACGTATATGGCGACTCCACCTCCTTCTTTCAGATCCCTATCTCGCCTGACTAGGACCATATCATTTATACTGACTTCGCTGTCTGCCACCGTAGGGGTTAGCCTGGTTTCCGTCAGTATTATGATTTTGGAGTTCAGCTGTGATTGTAGGTATCTAAGTTCAGCTATTTTGCCTCTTAGACCTCTCACATTACTGTACAGGCAACTGGTAGTCAGTCTCACCACGTCCCCGTATTGGGGGGTGGTTGACGTGATGTGGGCTGTCGGTTGAGGAGTTATCCTACGAACTAGTTGGCCGATTCCCCGGGAACCGGCCTGTTGGCGTTTTTTTCTTCTGATTCAATCGGAGCACTTGGATGACACTGGCTATCATCGTCCGTGCTGCACCGCTGTATTGTGACTAGGGGTTGGGGATGTTCTATGACAACGTTTTGTTCTCTCCTTTGGGTACGAGGCCGGCTCTCGCAGCAGCGAATGTGTCTGCTGACCTTGTCCTTGGTCTCGTACCATCTCTGGAGAGCAGTAGTCAACTGGTCTCGGGAGCTGAACTTGACAGCTAACAGACGTTGCGTGTTAATTGACATAGGGTGAGTGGGTCGAGGCAGTCTATAAATAGAGACAGCCCCTGAACTTCCCAGACCCATCTGGGATGCCAACCATCTCCATTGCTGTACATCGTGACAGTGCTTCTCACAAGCGTTCCCAGTTACCGGTTCGGGAATGCCGTGAACAACCATGGAGGCAGAAGGAATAAGCTCTGGCGACTCCCTCGCCATCCGTCTTTCCTTCCATGGCCTGTCTGGCCTAACACGTATATTGCAGGTCCTTCCTATAGAAAGGACTTGGGAAGTCAATAAAACTTTTTCGGCATCCTCGGTAGAACCTAGTGTTACCCTCAGTGGGGATGGTTTGCCTTGAGGAGCAGCAGTGCCCCTATACAATCTGCACAGTTTTACTGGTTGGATGTCCAGACCCAGTGTGCTACATAAGTTGGACCACTGTTCCTGATCAAACAGGGCCCTGTTTTCCAGCAGACTACTGCTACAGTCTGGTACATTAAAGAGGATAACGCAGTTTGATCTACTAACCGTGGATTTAGGTTCGGTCCTCGCACATTTGTCATCCCCCTTAAGACCGTTTTGTTTCGTCTGGTGCAACTGGGTATCATTGTGTGTCGCAGTGCTGTGGCCACTTTTACTGGTGGACGGTAAGGGTCTTTTCCCAGCGACAGATACCCTTGGTGCTTCAACCTCTGTGTCTGGGGCAGTTATGGCAGGAATTGCAAGTATAACCGGTGTAGATTTTGGTATCCCCGATTTACATGCAATTGTGCTGTTTTCTGAGTTGGTGGAAGTAAAACGTTTCACGTTTTTTCCTGATACCTCTATGCCATCTTTAGCTTTCGAGGAACTACACGAGGCTGCATTAGGACGGCAACTTGGGCATATGTACCAGAACCATGGGCATGGGTTCTTACGCATAAAATCGTAATATACCTTTGGTACCCCGGTGTCACATCTACAATGTACCCATTGCTTGCAAAAGTTGCATTCGAAAGCAGAGTCTACTTGTTCGACAACAGAATTGCAGACCTTGCAATCGTCTGCCTTCTTGGAGAACGTTTTCGTCGTCTTGTGACGTCGTGAACGTTTCTTATTGGCCTTCCTGTTTGTTTCAAGGCCTACTGTGGATATGGGTGTTATATTCTCACTTTGTGCAAATTTGCCACTCGGCTCTATTAACCTAGTCTTCTTAACAGGGATGGAGCCACATCCGCCTAGTTGACTTTT